TGACAAAAAGCAATAAGGTTGCCAAAAGCCAAAGACTTAAACTAACAACAGGCCAGGGTTTATGTGCATGTACTGAAAATTCCACGGACATGGGAAGAAATGGAGACAAAAGAAAACCAGAAGACAATGTATAAATGTAAGGTCTCCATATTATTCAGGATAAGAAAACTACTTTCTACTAAATTATAAATATGTCCTCTATTACACGATGTCTCAGAATTGAGTCAGAAGCAATAAAACAAGGCACATCTGGGCCAGCAGGAGGTATTCTATACATTCTTCTCTCTCATACTGCTTTCTCCAACATTTCTCTTTTAACCCACCAGGCTTCCCACATTAAAAGTGTGCAGCTACACAAGCTTACTATCTTCAGCAAAGGGATGACCAGTGGTAGAGGGTGCTTAAAAGGGTTCATATAGGTAAGTCCAGTACAAGAAAAGTCAAATATAAATTTTAATAAGAAATGAGTAGGTCTAAATAAAGTCTAATAGTAAACAGAACAGCCAGTTTTGCTTCACCTAACCCACTCTCCTTCCTCTTAACGGAGCACATCGTACTTTAAGTTCAAATACACATTTTTCTAGTTTGGAGATTATTAGTAACAGAGGACCAGTAAAGGAGTTGGAGCTGTATTAAAAAAAAAAAAACAAAACCAGGTCTCAACAGAAAAGGTTCCTGTGAGACCAACCTGGTAGGAAGACCTGCCATTAAAGCTGTTTGTCAGAAGCTTGAAAGATTCCCTGTGCTTTCTTCGACTTATTTTTTTTTTTTTTTAAACACCATGTAAGAACAAATACAGGAGATTTTACTGTTTTTTGTTGCTGTACAGCTAAGCTAATTGAGTAAAAATGTCCTAATTACTTGTTGGTCCTCCTTCACCTCAATGTTTAAAACTTAAATGTTTATATAATGCCTAGAGGCTCAAGAAATGTCCACATATGTATTACATCTGAATGTTCTATTTCTTGACCTCAGGAGTAGTTGTGCGTCTACTTCTGTATGTGATGTATTTATCAATAACAGTTTTAAAAATGTTTATAAGGGAAATATTTGTCATGCATTAACACTGATACAGGTGAGAGCTGGATAAACTCTACTATTACTCTATTACAAAACATACAAAGCAATAGAAAAGACAGCAAAAATCTGTCCAACGGTTACTCAAAATACCTAGAAGGCCATGAGGCAGAGTAGATCAACAAAGCAACACTGGTTTTCTAGTTGAGTCTAAATCAATTAGAAGTTATATTTTCAAAAAGCAAAAATTTTGATAGGTTTTCTGAATTGCCTTCTTTGAATTTAGGAATTTTGTTTTAGGATAAAAATACTTGTTATATAAATTTTTCTGAACTTCACACAGGCAGCTGTGTTGCTTGTGAACATCTTTAAGAGGATATGATTTAGGTGATAAGAAGCGGGGCATGGTGAAGTTTTCAGCTTACCTTACGTATTTCTGCACTGTTTAAATTTTTTTTCAATGAACATGTACTTTTAGTAATTAAAGAAAAAAACATAATTAGAGTTGTAAGAGTTGGGAGGATATAAAAGAAAAGAATACATTATTGAAAATGTCTCTCAAGGTGAACAACAAGATCACTCTTCCATAACAAAACAAATTACTTAGGAAAAGTAACATTCATTTAAAATATATTCACATTTTCTGCTGAAATTATAATCCCAGAAAAAGTATTAAGCTAAGCAGGGAAAAGCCAACCATTGTTTGAAAAGTCTTTGGAGTTGGTGGGGCTTTACTTTATTTATGCAATTTCTAATATCTTAAAACTACTCTTCAGCTCCTTTCTGATTTTCTCTCAAATACATTAACATAGTGGTTCTCAACGTGCGGTCCCAGACCAACAGCATCAGCACACTTGTGAAACTGAAAACTCACAGGCTCTATTCCAGATCTACTGAATCAAGAACTCTGGCTTGGATATTCATTTGCAGAAGAATGAAACTGGATTACTTCTCACTGTATACAAAAATCAAGTCAAGATGGATTAAAGACTTAAACATAAGATATGAAACTATAAAGCAACTGGAAGAAAACACAAGGAAAATACTTCCAGACACTGGTCTAGGCAAAGATTTTATAGCTAAGCCCCTAAAAGCACAGGCAATAAAAACAAAAATAGCCTTCAGAAGGACTATTTTAAAAGAATATGCTTCTGTGTGGCAAAGGAAACAAGAGTGAACAGAAAACACACTGAATGAGAGAAAACATCTGCAAACTATTCATCTAACAAGGGACTACTATCCAGAATATACAAGGAGCTCAAACAACTCAACTGCAAACAAGTAAACAAAAAACTCACAAAATAATCCCATTAAAAAGTAGGCAAAAGACATGAATAGACATTTCTCAAAAGAAGACATACAAATGGCGCAGAGGTATATGAAAAACGTTCAACATCACTAATCACTAATCGCGTTTGAAATGAAAATGAAAACCACAGTGAGATACCATCTTAGCACAGTCAGAATGGCTATTACTAAAAAGACAAAAAATGACAGCTGCTGGTGAAGATGCAGAGAAAGGGGAACTCTTATATTCTGTTGGTGGGAATATAAATTAGTACAGGGATTTCTCAAAAAACTAAAATTAGAACTATCATCTGACCCAGCAATCCCACTACTGGGCATTTATCCAAAGGAAAAGAAACCAGTACAGATACGTGCACTCCCATGTTTATTACAGCACTATTCACAATAGCAAAGATCAGGAATCAACCTAAGTGCTCATCAACTGACAAATGGATAAAGAAAACTGTGGTGTACGTACACAGTGGACTATTACTAGGCCATAAAAAAGAAAGAAGTACTGTCATTTGCAGCAACAAAGATGGAACTAGAGGTCATTATGTTAAGTGAAATAAGCCAGGCACAAAAAGACAACTATGACATGTTCTTACTCATATTCGGGAGCTAACAAAAAGTTGATCTCATAAAGGTAGAGAACAGAATGATAGATACTAGAGGCTAGGAAGGTTGGTTGTGTATGCAGAGAAGGAGATGAAAAGAGGTTGGCTAATGGGTACAAAAATATAGTTAGATAAAAGGAATAAGTTCTAATGTTCAATAGCAAAGTAGAATAGCTATAGTTAACAATATATTGTATATTTCAAAATTGCTAGAGGAGAGGCCTTGAAATGTTCCCAACACATAGAAATGACAAACAGTTGAGGTGATACCCCAGTACCCTGAGACCTGATCATTACATATTCTATGCATGTAACAACATCACACATACCACATAAATATACAAATATTATCAATAATAATTTTTTAAAAAAGAAAAAAACTCTGGGAGGGGTAGAAGGAGTCAGAGGCAGCAAACTGTGTTTTTATAAGGCTACCAGGTGATTCTGAGTTTGAGAACCACTGTACTATGGTATAATAAACAGTATTGCATTTTATTATAATTATTTTCATTTCACAATATAAACTTGAAAATTTTCATTTGGTTTAAATACTCCCAGATAACATGTTCCAGGCTAATTTCATATGGATTGCATTTTTTAGTAATTAAAAAACACAAATTTGGGGGAAAAGGAAGGACATGAACGTGAAAGATATAATGCTTAAAGAAAAAATTTTAAATACATATTTGTGGTTCAGGTCACTATTAACAAACCAACGAGCATGGTCACTTACTATAATGCCTAATATTCTGCAGAGGGCTACACAAGGACAAATTCATGCTAATGAATAGAAAACATTACATTACTTCCATGACTTCAATTACTATCTACATTAAAGATTCTCAATCAAGGGTACTAACAACTCCTAGGGACTCTCAACTTCCACAAGGTCTTATTCTTCCCCACCCACCTATCTTCCAAAATCATGGCCCAATTGGTTATTGTTACTGTAAAGGGTATATCATACACTTCCAGTGTACTGGATAAATGAAAGTTTAAGAATTATTGGCCTTTACCATAAGACCTCTTTCCTGATTTTCTGCATGCTATATATTTCCAGTTGGAGATCTAATAAGAACCTCAGATTAAATCTGTCTAAAACTGAACTCATCATTTTGCCTCACTCCTTTTCTTTCCTCAGCTTAGTGAATACAGCACAAAACTGCCGAAGCCAAAAACCTAACATCTTTGACCTCTCCCTCCTTTGCCACCCCTCAACCAATCACTAAGGCAGTTGATTTTATTTTCAAAGTATCTCCTGATCCACTATCCTTTTTGCCAGTATCCTGGCCCAGGCCTCTAGAATCTCTTCCCTGGATTAGTAATTCAGATTCCTACTCAACTAATTCTGGCTCCAGTTTTATTGTTCCTTCCAGAAAGAGGGAACTTTCTAAAGGGAAAATCTAATCATTTCATTCTATGGCTTAAAATCCTTCAATCAAAATAAAGCATGTAACTACAAAGCTTTCATCACCTGATCTGTTTCAGGCTTTAAATCGCATACCATCATTCATGACTCCAGCTGTACTGAATTTTAGTTCCTGAAAGGCAGTATTTTCTCTTCTGTTAACCCCTCTGACACGGTGTTAGCTCTTTTCACTGGGCTAATTTCTATCTATTCTTCATGATCCAGTTTTGATGTCACTTTTTTTCATAAAACCATCTCTCACCTCCACATGTTATACTCAGTAGCATCTCTAAGTACAGTACTTATCATCATACTGTTCAGTAACCATATTTCCTCCTCTAAATTTCAAGATCTACATAGAATAAGAACCATATCTATTTTTTCATATTACAATCCTGGCACCAAACAGCAAGACACCATGAAACTGAAAGCATGAGTTCTAGTCAGAGAGGCTCAAAAAGTGTTACAAGCTGTGAAAATTTGGGACAGTTACTTAAACTCTAATATTCCTTATCTGTAAAGTATAGCTAATACCATCTTTCAAGGCTATTCATAAATTAAATAGAATATGTGAAACATTTGGCACAATGCTTGATACACAGAAATGTTAGCTATTATTACTTAGTACGTATCAAAGAAAATATTTGCTGAATGAATACACTGTTCACAAATTATTAAAAACATATTTTAATAATGCTAACCTCATATAATTCATTGTATTTCCAAGCATATACTTCTATTAAAGAAGTTTCAGTTTTAATCATGTCCATGGCACCAAAGTTTCTTATAGACAGTATTTAGTTGAGTTACAAAGCAGAATGTTCAAAAAGAATGACCTGTGCCTCATTTTCAGGAACAATTTGTTTATGAAGTTGAATCTGCTCCAAGCCAGGACTTTCTAGAAAATTTGGATTACTGTTACAAATTGAGGCAGTTACATTATACCTTGCTGACTGATAAAAGCTGTAGTATTCAAGTCTATTTTCCCTTGAGTTTTCTAGTGCCTTTAGTTTTTGTTTAAATTGAACAACTTTGTAGATCAAAAAAATGATTAAAACACAAGCTAAGATGAAAAAAGCTAGCAAAATGTCAAAAGCCTCATTCAACTTCTCAATTTCTTGTGTACAAATCAGAGATGTTTTCCCTGACACTGAAGCAGCATCAATCGGTAGAGCACTGTTTTTTTCCAAGTTCAAGGTAACAGAAGTAGTAAGCTGTATCTGCACAGGCAACACTGCTGTAGTCTCTAATCGATTACCAAACGCAGTCTCTTGAAAAAATCTACCAGCAGGTGAAGGAGATTTTTGTTCCCAGAAAGTAATGCTCTCAGTTTCAGTATTTTCCAGAGGATTGCCACTGGTGGTTACTTTAGGCCAGGCCATCATTAGTGCAGTAGTCTTGTGACGAATGTGAGGAGATTTTACAACAGCCCAAGCTGTGGATACATTTGTTGAAGACGTAACACAATTTGTAATGTTAATATAACGTAATGCTCTGCCACGCATGGATGGGGGATTCTGACAATAGATGTTTAGGGTAATGGCTGAAGATGTTAGCCAGTCTCGAAGGCCCGCAAGTTTGCAGTTACATTCCCAAGGATTAGAATTTGCCTGAAGATGAATCAATGAAGACAATGGCTTAAGGACCCTTGGATGCAAGTCTGTAAGATTATTAAATGACAGATTAAGGATCTTCAAAGATGCTCCCATGTTTTCAAATGTATCATTATCAATGCTAATTATTCTGTTTCTATCTAACTTAAGGTAAATTAAATTCTTTAACAAACTAAATGTGTCAGAATTTAAATTCTCTAAATCATTATGACTTAAGATCAAATGTTTAAGATTATTAATTCCACTAAATCCATCCCTAGTAACATTTCTAATTCTTGAATTTTTCAGGAGGAGATATTCCAAGTTGACAAGTCCTTTAAATGCAAAGGGCTGTATTACTTCAATGGGATTATGAGACAAAGAAAGTCTTCTAAGACTTTTAAGTACATCAAAGGCATTTGATGGTACTTTTGTTAAAGTATTACTTTCTAGATACAAACAAGCAAGGTTTCCAAGATGTTGAAAGCCTGAGTCTGATATCCTCAAAATGTTATTGTTTGATAAGTCAAGTACCCGAAGAGCAACCATACCAACAAAGGTACCACTCCCAAGAACAGTGAGGCGATTCCTTTGTAGATTTAAGTACTGAACTGAAACTAGATCATTAAATATTCCTCTTGGAACAAAAGATACCAGATTAGACTGTAAATATAAATTACGAAGATTTAACAGTCCCTTAAATATTCCAGGATCTAAGCGTTTGATAAAATTATTATTTAGAAATAGAAAATATAGATGCCTCAATTGAACAAAGGCTTTTGGATATACATAGAGAATGTTAGAATTATCCAAATACAATGCTACAAGAGAATGAAGTCCTGTTAATTCACTTTCATTTATATAAGATATATTATTTCCAGTCAGATACAGAAAAGCTGTACGTTCAGGAAAATTCTGAGGAATACTCGAAAGGCCTAAGTTACGGCAGTTAATTTGTCTCCCAGTGCAGAGCTGACAAACAGACGAACATCCAAGTATTTCTTTGTGAAGTAATAATAAAATATAACAGGTAACAAGCAGAAACAGTCGTAGGCAAAGCAGAGAAAACTGTAATCCACACATATCCCTGTTCTTGGTTTTTCTGTTCAGATCAGAATTGGCTATAAAAAGAGAAGGTAAAGCTTAAATCATCAAAACTTCATCAAATGAATACTTTTTATAATACTGTAACTTCTGTATTGTTTTAATTAGGATCAGCCAATAATAATATCATAAATAATTGCATTAAATGAGTATGGAATACATTCTAGAATTATTAACATGATCAGGCCATTAACACACTATTTGACAAGATAGTTCAGATTAATGAAACATTTGCTAACTTAACTTAAAAATTACAATTGATTACAACATAGGTGACAAATGATGCAAGAATGAGAATCTATGAATTTAGTACGTCTCTTTAACAACATAAAGTCTAATATCAAACACTATAATTTACAAAAATACAAATTCACTACAGAACAATTAAACTCTAAATTACAGTTTTTCACAAAACTATTTTTCATGTCAGCTATAAGTTCATACTTAAGTAAATAATCTTACCAAAAACAGGAAATTCATATTATTAAAGCTCAGCTGATTCAGTAAAGATTTTCTTTCTAAATCTGAAGAACGACATTTCTAAACTTCATTTTGTTCTGTGGCACTGCTGACCTCCACTCCACCACCTTTTTTTTAAAGTCACTGTTTGCTCAGGAAACACCACTCTTCACATTGGTTCCTTTAGAGTCAATGTGTAAAACAGAGGTTGCCATGGATACAGGAAGCTGAGAGACAGGAAGTAATTTTATCTGTGTTTCAAAAGTATTGCTAAACGGAAATCTTGGGAACTTATTTTTTCAGAATGCAGTTAGAGTTTTCCTAATATACACATTGAAACTTCTCCAATAATTTAAAAATAATAGTTTTTAGAGAATACCTGAAAACCTTAGTTATTCAGAACCTAAACATAACAGACTCTAGCTATCAACAACATAGCTAATAAATGGAAAAGACTCGTTGAAATAAGATGCATATAGAGTAAGATAATTTTTGTAAGCTTTATAATGAATTGAATATTTATATTGTTTTAAATACATATTAAAGACTTCAACTTTACGCTTTATTCCTTTAATAAAAATAGAAAAAAACAATTTAGAATGGTGAACACAAACGGTATACTATCCTCTAGTGCTCTTTTTTAAATTTTCAAAATATTTTTGGTTGCAAAAACTACCGAGTAGTACTTAACATGTTAAGGTACTAACTGGTAGTAAGGTATTAATTAGTATTAAGGCACTAATTGGTTGCACTGGGTTATAAGATGGTAATAAGCTGCATACCAAATTACTGACATAGGTTATCTTTGCAAGAAAAGTTGGGGAGAGTGAAAGAGGATGTTTTGCCCTATATATATCTGAATTAGTTTGAATCTTTTAGAACAAAAATGGGGAATTTTAATGTAATTTTTTTAAAGAATTTAAAGAATTGAATATAAATTGTTTATATAATATATTGTTCAGTCATTAACTTTCCAAAAGGCTAGTTGCTTAAGCTTTCTAATTCTTTTATTAATATTACTAATACCCTGATAATATTCCTAAAATATCAAGTTATATAATTGTATATAACTTTCCTTTGATGTTAAAGCAGTTTTACTTCACATCAAGACAATAAATTACTTTAGATAATAATTATGTCCACACTAGATACTTGAAATAATACCTAGCACTATCTATGACTGAAAATTTAGAAATGCATACTGAATATCAGATCTTTATCAAAATGATTTATGATTCTTACAATTATCCTTTATGGCTGGCTCTTGTTACTATTTTATGCATTAAAAACTGGAAAACAAAACGACAAAAATGACATGAACTTGAGGTAGGGCTAGGTTTCTCAGGTCCACTTCGTTTAGCACTTCCAATAACATACAAAGTACCCATGGATTTTTCAATTGCATAATATAACTTAAGGAGTTAGAAAAAAGTCAGAAAAAGGATCCTTTGAAATAAAAATTAATTTAAAGGGAAAAACCCACACAGTAATATAACCAGAGTATTAATTTTGTTCTCTATGGCAAAAATAGCCAACACAGTCAAGAATACTTATAATCTTATTTCTCACATTCTAAAAACTGGTGAAAACTAAACTGGCTTCACCAAAAACAGTAAATCACACTGTAACTCTCAGGTTGAATGTTAAAAAAAAATCCAATCTCTAGCAAAACCAAGTTTAGTCTTTCTGTTCATTTAGGAGTTGCTGCTCTTAAAGACAACTGATCAACACTAGAGAAGGCCACAGAAATCAAAAACTCAAAAAAGGTAGATGTGAGAAGGTAATTTAAACCTCTTCTCTTGCTTAGTATGATCATATCACCAGTTAGTGGGCAAAACTGGCTACTCAGGTTTTAGATGAGAATTCAAGTCTTCTGACTTCCCTGTGTACTTACTGCAAGGTACATTTCCCTGTGCTTTGACTGAGTATTATTACTTCACAGCAACTCATATAATGCAGGTAGTATATTCTCATGAGCTCTAAATCCTGTAACATGTTTTCTAAAATCTCCACATGATCTCCAACATGTAATAATTCCCCCCATCTGAATTGTGACATTGTGATTTTGTTCTGTAATAACACATCAAAATGATTCTTCATTACCCTATTCTAATTACTAATCTTCATTACAACTAGTACTGAACACTACACTCAACTTCTTAAATTAGCCTTCTATTTCTTTCAGGGAAATTGACTCATAATTTTCCTCTCATTCTTGTAGCTGAACCTTCTTTTACAGTGCCTTTGTCTTCAAATCATCTCATGCTTCTAGTATCAATACAGAACTATTCTCTTTTCCATTCAGATTCTGCCTATACAAAAACAAGAATGTATAAATAACAGAACAATTGTTCCATTAGCATCTTTTAAATATACACCATCTGTATGTATGCATGTATTCTTTTGAGACATGGTCTTGCTCCGTTGGCTAGGCTGGAGTGCAACAGTGTGAACACAGCTCACCACAGCATCGACCTGCCAGCTCAAAGTGATCCTCTTGCCTCAGCCTCCTGAATAGCTGGGAGTACAGTATGCCACCACACCTGGCTAATTTTTCTTATTTTTGTAGAGATGAGGTCTTACCATTTTGCTCAGGCTAGTCTTGAACTAGTAGACTCAAGTAATCCTCCCACCGTGGCCTCCTCTCAACCTGGGATTACAGGTGTGAGCCACTGTACCCAGCCTATATGTATTTAGATACATAGCATCTACATATAAACCAATCAAGATTAGTTTACATATAAAGAATGGCTTATAATAACAGCAGTCACTGATTTTATGGATCTTCAAAGTTACTGATGGACCTAAAGTCAAGAGAATGAAAATGAAATGGGATTTGCAATTAAAAAATAATCCAGCTCTTTCTGCCATCATCAAGCCTGTGGAGGCCTGCTTGAAGCATGACTTCCAAAAGCAAGTATGTCTGGAAGGCTGTGGTCCAAGGCCATTTTTGCTGGCTATAGGCAGGGTCTCTGGAACCAAAAGGAGCAAACAGATGTTCTTAAAACTGAAGGTGTTTACGCCTGAGATGAAACTGAATTCTATTCGGGCAATAGTTGTGCTTATGTATACAAAGCAAAGAACAACACAGTGACTCCTGGCAGCAAACCAAACAAAACCAGAGTAATCTAGGGAAAGGTAACTTGGACCCACAGGAACATTGGCTCGATTTTTGCCAAATTCCAAAGCGATCCGTCCGCTAAGGCCATTGGACATAAATGCTGTAACCCTTAGGATTTAAACTAATGAAAAGTAAAGAAAGTGGACTTGTGCTCTTGGAAAAAGAAATCTAGTAAATGATTTGAAAATTATCATTTTGCTCAATGTAGGAGAGAAATTTTAACGAGGGTCAGTACTTTATCTCAACATAGACCTCTTATCAGTTGTAAGATAAAAAAACATAGTATAACTATACAAAGTTGAGAAATCAGATAACACCTTGACCAGCATTAACATCATCAATGAGAAACAGATGAGCACCATGTGACTTTGCCTGTGATATTCCAAGAGGCACACATCACTCATACAATATTCCAACAGGAGATGCATATATATATATATAAAACTGTAAGAAAATACCAGACAAACCACAAATGAGGAACAGGCTATTCTGTTGGGGAAGGTGAGGGGAGGATGGATGGGAGACAAAAACAAAGAAACAATTGGAGAGATAGAAAGAGATTAAAGGAGTGGACCCTTTAAAAATGTTATAAGAAAAAGAAAAGACTGAGAAAATGACATTACAGAGTAAAAGAGACTATAAAAAGACTAACACTAAATGCAATAATTGGTCCTAGACTGAAGTACTGACGAGTAAAAAGACCATGACAAATGCAACTTCCACATAAATGGTTCGGAATATAAAACGTCTATCTAGTTATCTGACAGAAAATGTGTATCACACAACACACTGAGACAAAAGTTAACAATAGGTGATTCTGGGTAAAGGTTATAAGGGTGTCCTTTACTGTTCTTGCAGGGTTTTTCTGAGTTTGAAATAGTTTCTAAATGAAAAGATCATGACAGTAGCTATAATTTCCATGTAAAATTTGTTCTTGTGAATTACTGCCAAGGTATGTCAGCACTTCTAAGTTTTTAAGGTATGCTTTAAAATAAAAACAAACAAATATTGTGCTCTTACATTATGGCAAAACTATGAATATCTCTGTTTGCTTAATTGTCAACAAGAAAATCAACCAACAAATTTTTAACTACAAATCTGTGAGAATAAAAATAAACTGTATTTATCAGAAGCATAAAATTTCAACTATGCCTGTGACTTCGGGGCTTTACAAACACTGTACTGACACTGGAACACTTTGAAGGAATATTATTTATTAATCATTCCCCCTAGCAAGACTTTAGAAGAATATTTTTAACTTCTTGATATCTGTTCCTGTTACACAGTCATTTTGAGAAGCAATATTCTATTTCTATGAACAATTTTAGGTACCATCCTCATTGCTGCTTCAGGATAAATTTCTTTGTTTTATATTGGCATAGTTTTACACTGTAAAGCACAGAAAGCAGAACTATTAAACAGAAGGGCTGTTCCAACTTAGAAAAAGCTAGGAGAGATGCATTATAATTCAAAGTATCTCCTCTTTCCCCTGGCTCCCACTGAAACCTTTGGAACACTATCTCTCCTCTGACCTTTTCCACCACCTTCTGGGTTTTGCTGAGACCGACTAATATCAGCAGATTGTGGTTTAGATGTGAACTATATTAGCATTTCTCTTTCCTGCAAATCCCTTCAATTTTGATGGTTCTTATTTATTTTACACTTACATTACCAATTTCCAGTTTATCACAATTCCTAAAATCCCTATAGTTTTAAACACATACACACACAAAGGAAGAAGAATGGAGGGAGTAGTAAGTCCAGGAGAGTTGAGTCACTTCCAATAACTATATAATAACCTTTGTGAAATTATTTTCTTCCCTCAAAAGACAGTATTATAAAACGGATGCAGTTACGTGAATGAAGACTATACTTACTGAATATAGAAACTAGCATATGGAGTTAAAAGCACAGATTTGGGAGCCACTGTATTTTGGAGATAATGCTTACATAACAAATAGCTATATAATTAGAAAAAAGTCCTACAATAAAATGGATGCCTTAAGGAGCAGAAACTTTTTATTAGCCAAGTAACCAAACGAAATCTGAATGAACATCCATCATACTGTAGAAGGAAAGTTTATTACCAAGTAAAGAGTAACCTAA